CAATCTTCCCATGTTTTCTTCCATCTGCTACCTCTATAGCTTTTCTTCTTCCCTCCTAATTACGACCCTTAAATAGAATTCGTGCCTCATATCAAATTCACCGAGTATCATAACTCCTCCAAGTGGTAAAGATACCTCAAGACAAATGCTGGGCATAGAAGCCACAGGGCATAAATCTGCAAAGAACTAAAAAGCTAAGCTTTTCAGACAATATGGCTTCTCTCTCACTTACAAACTTTACATTTCCCTGTATGGCCCCAGAAGATGACTCGTTAGCCAGAGACGGGTAAGATTCCTCAAGGGAGGAACAACCTAAGACAGGCACAGTCGCAGGGGGGCCATCAGGTGAGAAATTGGGGATCAACAGAGGTGAGGCTTAGAATCTCACCCCCCCTGTTCTGAGAGAAATCTTCTGCATCCTTGGATGTATTATTGCCCTTGTCTAGCTTGGATTAACACATAGTCTACAGGCACACACCTGTTCATGTACTTTTGCTCTCTTACAACACTAAACTATGTTTTCTACCTTTATCTTGCATCTACCTACCACTTCAGCATTTTATTTAAAAAAATAATAATAATAATAATAAAGGGAGAAATGTGGGATTCACATATGAATCAAGTATAAAAATCAAACAAATATTCATATTTGACCTGATTGGTTATAGTTCATAATGAGTGATCAAAACCGAAAATTTTGTGATGACTGCCCTTGTACTGTTCACCATGTAAGAACTTATTCACTGTGTAAGAATTTGTTCACCATGTAAGAACTTGTTCATTATGCTTCAGAAGATTGGAGACTTATGAGAATTAGGCTGGGGGTGGATTAATGATTGAGCATTGAGTCCCCTATACAGAATTTCATTGTTGTTAACAACCACTTGATCAATAAATATGAGAGATGCCCTCTCAAAAAAAAAATTGTAGTATGGTATATGACTCAATTGTGAATAGCATTTAAGTAGTCATAATAATGTAAAGGTGATAACTACTCTAATAGAAAATTTTAAATAAATATATTAAAGAGATGGAGGTGTTCAGAAAGCATATCTTCATCCTCCATAACAGGCAGTCAATTAATAATGCCTAAAACTGAAAAAATCAAGTTTTGAAATATGTTTTGCAGTAATTCATATGGCAGAAGATAGCATTTTAGGGTAGTAGTGATGGTAGAGGTCAAGAAAAGTAAGAGAACTCAAGGAATATTTGGGCAGTACATTGAAAAAAATCAAGAAGTCTTGTTAATAGACTGGAATGGGAACATGAAGAAAAGGAAAGAATCAAAAGGGATCCTAGATTTTTGGCCTACTGTACAGGTTGAATGATGTTGCCATTAACTGAGATAGAGGCTGCTGGAAGAGGACGAGGTTGGAGGCAGGGGAAGGAATGGAGATCGTGAGTTGTTTTTGGACACCTGGAATTAAAGATTCTTCATTCCACCCAAAAGGAGTTTTCAAGCAAACAGTGGAAATACTGGTTCAGAGCTCAGAATAGATACTTTGCCTCGAAAGATAAAAATATACAAATCATCTACAAAAAGTAATCACTGAAGTCATAGACATTACCACCTAGGAGGAAAACCAAAGACTGAGAAGAGATGCAAGTCTAGAACTAAGCCCTCAGGACTCCATATTTAATGGTGCAGTAAAGGAGGATGATCTCGCAGAGAACAGGAATAGCCAGAAAATTTATTCTAGGAATAACCTGGAGGAAAGCCAGTTTATTCCATCTTGTAGGCCAAGTTCAGTTTGGAACATCTTGAATATGATTCAGCAGTTGTTTATATCTAGTTAACTATTGTCAATGAAGAGTCTGAAGATTGGGAAAGAGTGCAGGGCGTCCCACACAAAGTGTCCCAACTATAAGAGATTAACCTCACTAATTCCCCTTTCTGATTACAACCTCCACTTCTGCAACTCTGAATCTGTTCTTCAGTGTTCTTTGTAGTATTTTAATTCCTTATTCCTCTCAGGGGCTCACTTGCTTTTCCCTTTACTAATTCCCAGGAAAGCACACACAGTGATTCAAGAGCAGTAGTAAAGAATCAGGGCTAACATTGTGGACTCTGGTATCAAATTACCAGGGTTAGAATCATGATCTGAGTATGACCCTAGGAAGTCATAGTCATATATGTTTGCTAAGCCCTGGTTTTCTCATTTGTGAAATAAGGGTTATGATAATGGTCCCAACTCCATCAAATGAGATATTGAGGTGGTTGACACATTGAAAGCAGGCAATTAATATTAATTATTTCAATTATTATCCATGGCCTTAACTCCCACCAACAAACATATTTGATAATTACTATAACTTTAATTTCTACCTCTGAAATTTTTTCTTAATTCAATATGAAGCTTTAATCTGCTTCCAGGTACTTCCTATCTTCCTTTAATGTAACAATCCACCCAGCCACCCGGAACAGAAACTGGAAGCAATCCCTGTTTCTCTTTATTTACTTCCTTTGTCCAAGTCATAACCTTCTCATGATTCTTCCCACTAAACAGCTCTTTCATTCATCTTCTCCTGCCTCTCCCCTCTTCTATTACCCTAATTTAGACTCTAGATTTCTGCTTTAGCCTCCAAAGTGATCTTTGCCTCTAGAGGTTTCTTTTTCAGGATTTGTCTTTTTCAGGATATTTCCTAAAATGCAAATCTGATCATGTTATTCCCTAGCTTAAAGTTATAACATGCTTGAAACCATGGTAGGCAAATGTAGATATTCAAAAGCCTTTATTTTTATTCCTTCCTACTTTTCCACCTTATCTCCTGCCACTTCTATGCATAACCTTTACATTTTATCTGGGTGATAGTGGGCACGTCTTTAAGCCTGGTAAGTGGGGAAATGTACTACCTATTCATAAGGTTGTTAAAAAGGTTGAAATGATGCATGTAAGAATTTTAGCACAATACAGAGAAAGCACTTGTTTTCCTGATTAAAGAGACAGAGGAAACATCTCTAGTTCAGTGTCTTTCCTTTTTCCTGTCTTTAATATGACTGTTGATATCTGGTGTTAGACAATCACACTGCAGCTAAGAGGGAAAAGTGAAGAGAACTGCAGAGATGGCTCTCTGACATAATTGAATGAATACCAGCAGCTACCTACCTCCAGACCTCTCACATACTTTTTTGTTTAAGCAATTGTGAACCAGCTTAAATTACCTGACCTTCTATTACTTCCAGCAAAAATTACTAATAGTACAGTCCAAATTTATGCTTAAAAGTTTTAGCTAACATTCTTTCTGCTATCTTGTAAGCAGTTTATACAGATGAACCCATAGTATCTACAGTTACCTCACATGTAACTGCCTCTATTTTGAATCCTCCTGCTACAAATAAACTCTCTAGATCTTTGGGGGCAGTTTTGTTACTTGCAGTGCCCAAAGCTCATAGACAATCATAGTTTCACTGTGGTAATACAATGGCTATACCATCTTGTTAACTAAAAACAATAGGTTTGTCCTACATGTAGAACATGACAAAATTTTTCTGTATCTATTCCACAAAGAAGACACTTAATATGATTGAAAAGTTAACAGGTTTTAGAGTTGACCAGATGGAGATAAATTCCAGTTCCACCATTACCTAAAATGTAAATTTTTTATTCTCAGTTTCCTTTTTTGTAAAAGGATACAAAAAAGGTATAGTATTTCCTCAAAGGATTATTATGAAGAGTTAAGGTTAATGTTGTCAATTGCCTAGCACAGTGCATAATGAATGGAATTTCTTTTATTGCTTTAATTATATACTAGGCAATTAGTAAATATTATTGCCCTAATCCCTTCTACAGAAAATAAATCAGTATACACTTCATTAGGGAAGACTAGAGTTAAAGTTTACCCATAGAAAGAAGCTTTTGCAGATTAATCTCAACTGTTCTGACCATATCCTTTCTGGATCCCCATTAACATTTATATAGTCCCATGGTTTTAAAAAAATCTTACTCAGATAAGTGATTTCCACTTCAAACTAGACACTCCAACAACATGGTAATTAGTCAAAAACATTCTTTAGAAATCCTCTTTTAAGGAAAGGTTTTCAGAACGTAGCCCTCCTGTGTCATAGATATTCGTGACTGAGTGCTGGTGGTTTAAGTTACCTAACTTACTTAGATGTTATTTTCCACATGCATTGAGATTATATGTGTTTGTGTGTTTTCCTTTAGTGGCAAATCATTTCCATTAGAAATCTGTTTTTTGAGAAAACCGAAAGTTGTTCCAAGCTACTAGTAGTGATGAATAAGGTGGTTAAGAAATATGCCAGGCGATTTTATTGGTGATGAGGGAGTTGGGGAGGAGAACAAAATACAACAAAAATAGAAGTGAGATTTAAATATTAAGAAATTTTCCTTATGACCTATAATTGGCTTTGAAGGTATTCTAAAATATTTTGGACTAACAGTCTCCAAGGCTGCTTACTTCGAAAAACAATGCTCATGTATGTGTAAATTTGACTTAGTTAGGTTCCGTTTTTATTCACAATGTGGTAAAAATGATTTCATTGTATATACATGATTTCCTATACTTAAAAAGTAGAAACACAGAGAAAGGTCTGGCAGGAAAACCTTTTTAAGTGCGTTTATGTGCTTGAGCATATGTCATAACTGTTTTTCTTTTGTTTTTTTTTTTTGACACATACATTGTTGGAATGTCTCCTTTAACACGAAAATGGCCTAGTCTGGATTAACTCTGATGTAAACATCATCTAACAGTTTAATGAAATTAATGAAACAATATTCTTGTGTGATATTTTCTTTGCTGTGTATTCCATTTCCGGACCTCCTAAATTGATTTCACTTTTCGCTAACGGGTCGCGTCCCCAACTTTGAAACAATCGTTTTAAACTGCCGGTCGCTTCCGCCAGGCTCTATGGTTAGCCAGTTTCTAAGTCATCCTTTCTCGGGCTAGCAAGCCTGCCGCGACTTTGGCAACCTAGCAACCAGGCAGCGTGTGCAGACACTTCCGGAACCTGGCCGGAGTTGTCCAATCGGCTCTGCGGAGCTGCTGCAGAGGCTGATGGGGTGACGGAGACGGCCCTGCCTCAGGCGACTGCACCATGGTAACGGGCCGCGGTGGAACTAGGCTGGCAATGGCGGCGTGGTCCATCTCTCCGGCCGCGGCTGTGATTGCATTCCTCCTGTTAGACCTCCCAAGAGTCTCACAGGCCCAGACCTTCTCCTTCCCCTTCCGGCAGCCGGAGACGTGCGGCCACAACCAGTACTTCGATATCTCCGCGCTCTCCTGTGTTCCTTGTGGAGCCAACCAGAGGCGGGACTCCCTAGGTGAGAAGGTTCCGGGTGGGCCTTGGCCAAAGTAACATTCTGGCCTTGGTGCTGCCCCAAGTCCCTGGCGTCGCTGAAACACCTATTCGTCTGCGGGAAGAAAGTTTCAGGAAAATTAATCGCCAAGGGTTTCCTTGGGGGATTGTAGGTTGCACACAAATGAGGTTGGAGAACCCCGAGATCTGCTACTCGGTGATCCATTGCCATAATTTCTGAGCGCTAGTTCCCCGGGGACTCCTCATCCGAGGGGTCTTTAGGCAGGCACCTGGAAAGTCGCCCACTTAATGTGAAAAAAATACAGAGAAGTAAGCTGAAGTGCAGAGGAGCAGATGACAGGACGGGTTGGGAAGGGAATGCATATTGGTGCTTTTATAAACTTCGATAGCCCCAAATCCTAGAAATGTAGAGCTGGAAGGGACCTTAACCATGATCTGGTCCAGTCTTCTCATTTTACCGATAAGGAAGTTGAAGCCCAGATGAGTTTGTAATGTTTTGTCACCTAAACTGGGGTGGTGGGGAAGAACTCCTGTCTCTGCTTTCAGTCTCCACCTGTGCATTTCCATTATACATCGTGGAATAATATATTTCCTTAGAACTTAGGCATTTTATTGTTGAAAGTTACTAATTGACCTTAACATCCTTTAGATAAACCAAAAATTTTTTGACACATCTATCCTTTGTTCCTAGTTCTCACTGAAAATGCTCCGAATATGACGTTTACCGTATTCTAAAATCTAAGATTTAAAAAAAAGTTAGCGAAAATATATGAAATCCTGATTTGGGCTATGATTATGGGGGTATATACACATGTCAAAATCCATCTATAATTTGTTTATTTATGTATGCACCTCAACATAAAATAATTTATTTGAAAGTAAAAAAAAAGTCTTTAAGATGTTTTCAGTCTCAGTTTGATCACGCATGGTATCACCTTCTGCCATGTTAAATTTGATGTATCCTCGCGTGAATTATACAGGACAGGTCAGGCTTCTCACATGAGGAAATATGAATGAGAAAGCATTTCACAGACTCTAGAGTGTTAAGTATTAGTTTCATAATTATGAGTCCGGATATCATACTCGTTCTGCCTAAATTCCTATAGGTCCTGTTTCCACTTATTGCCTCCTTAGAGAATGTTGTTTTGCCTATGCGTCAAGTTAAATAGTGATAATCATATAATAGTTACTATCTGTCCAAGCAGAGGAAAACAAATTATTTGAATCAAGGTAATTTTCCTAATAAGATTTTGTTTTGACAGTAAATTTGAATTCTTGGATGTATATGTATGGTTGGGTAAAATAGAAAAGTAAAATTTTCCATAGCAGTTAATGAATAGATTATTAGTGTAACAGTTGAGTAATTTAGTAATTTATTCTTGCACTAAAATAGTAGCAAACACAAAACCTTCCTTCAGCCAGACACATTTCTAAGAGCTTTTCATATAAAAACTAATATTCATACTTACCCTATGAGGTGGGTAGGTAATTTCCCCCCCATTTTACCAAAGTGGCAGCGAGGCACAGAGAAGTTCAGTAACTTGCTCTAGGAAACACAGCTAAGTAGCAGAATTAAGATTAGAACCCAAGGAGTATGTTTCTGCATTTGAATCCAGGCAGTACTAGTTCCAGAGTATTGTTCTTAACTACCGTACTGCTTTTCAAGATTTTAATAACTATTAAAAATGTCCTGATCTTGGAGTTTTTATTTACCAAGGTCAAAATTGGCATTTTCTTTTTAGGAACTTCATGTGTGTGTGTACCAGGATTTCAGATGATCTCTAATAATGGAGGACCTGATATTATTTGTAAAAAGTGCCCAGAAAATATGGTATGAAGTATTTACTTTAAAATAATTTTACTGTAAAAAGTAGTAAGTTAAATGTCTTTTTTTTTTAACTATGTCTTAATATACTCCAATGTTTTCCCACAAACTTTAAAATTATTAAGCTAGAGTAAATTTTGGGAGGTCAGTGAAATCTTATGCAAACTTTGAAAAAACAGGCATGTATTTCTTTACTTTTTAAAATCTGAAACCCAAAAAAACCACAAAGTTGTGGAAATTTGCTTGTCTATCTTTTCTCATAAAGTAACAGCGATAAAAACAGATGAGTATACGTATATAGCCTGCTGACATCTAATACATACATGGACATAATAAAAAATTTGGGATGTGTGTATCCTAATGTACAGATTCAATTCAGTTTTCTATAACATGTCAACAGTCATAACAATTCATGTTCAAAACGATACCTAAGGTGTGATAAGTTCATGAAATGCCAATTGCCTCACACTAAATAGCTAAATAATGTCTGTCTGTTGCTGTTTTGTTACTTATTTCATCATAATTTTTGGAAAATTAGTAAATTAGTAGCTACTATATATAATGATTCTTAACAGAAACACATTTTCCAATCATTTTGGATAACTAGGAGTCTCTGTGTGTCAGTTCTGACTTTTAATGTTTCTTCTCATTATCTATATTTTAAAAAATTGAATCTGGGAGTTTAATATAAAGTTACCAGTTGTCCTAATTTATGACTAATATAAGTTTGAGGATCATCTTGATACTTATTTTATGTTTTTGGAAATATTTACCCTAGCTGAATTACCAATGATAAAAAGCTACTAATATGAAATGGCAAGACAAATTTATTTTTCAGTGACATTGCTAAAGTGTTATAATTTTTAAATGGCCCTTTATAATAATTATGCTGCCAAATGTAGGAGCATTTCTTGATATACCCAGTCTTTTCAACCGAAATTAAAAATAATTTTTGGCATTGTTTTGCTATTACCATTGTTCTCTATTACTTTTGATTATGTCCATGTATGTAATACAATTATTGTATTTTTATCCCAGGTTTAGGAAAAGCCATATAATATAATAATCCCAATTTGGAATGATGTCATATTTTACCAAAAACCTTTACTAGTACAAACTACTAATGAGTAGTAGGAAATATCCTTATAATTTAATTTAACAACTTTATTTGCATATAATTTATATACCATAAAATTCATCCATTTTGAATTATAACTTAATTTATAAAAGCTAATGTATTTGAATTTTAAAAAATTAGAATAATTACTTAAGAACAAGTTAAACTAAACCATTAATTGGCTATCTGTTGATTAAATACTGTTGAATTTTGTTGTTTTATGTTTGTAAATGGAAAAACTGAATGACAGTACTACTTTGAAAGTAAGGACTCATTTGAACTAAAAATTATGAAGAACTATTGCCTAGAGTTAATAGTAGTCAGTACCTAGTAATGTATAACTTTATTTTAGAATGTAAGCAGAATGGGCTATCCAGGAAATTTTTATGTGACTCATGCATATATGATTTATTTGAGTATTGACTACAAGTTATATACTGTTGTGGCTTTTTGAACTTACATAATCAGTTAAGAAGGAAAAAGCTAATATAGATGGAGAAAATAATTTTTTTTTAATTTAGAAAGGTGTTACTGAAGATGGCTGGAACTGTATTTCTTGCCCTGGTGGTTTAACTGCAGAAGGAAAATGCCACTGTCCCACCGGCCATATTTTAGGTAAGAAGTAGAGTCTTTATGAAATAGTAGTGATGAATCTTCATTTGTGTTTGTTTTTGATAAGGACATTCACTGAAATAGCTTGGTTTTTTCTTCCCAATGCTTGCTGCTGTCTTAAACATCATTGGATGTTCTGGACAGCAGTAAACTTTATGAAGTTTAAGACAGCAGCAAGCATTGGGAAGAAAATTAAAAGCCCTACCCATTTAAAAAACAAATTGTTAATAATGTAGGATTGAATGGATATATCCTTAAAATAACATTATAAAATATATGTGTTTCAACTCAGAAGCCAACATGATGCTTAATAGGGAAAAATCATAAGCATTCCTATTAATGTCAGGACCCAGATAAGGATGTAAACCATGCACTCAGGTAAGTGAAAGAAATAGATTGTAGAGTAAACTAAAAGGAGAAGGTAAAAATCACTAATTTCCAGTGATTTAATTCTATGTTTAGACAACTCAAGGGAACTACTAAAATTATTATAAACAATAAGGGTTCCTGCCTGCATATAAAATTAATATCCAAAAATTATAGCCTTCTATCCAAGTAACAATCCTTTAGAATATATGAAGGAATAAACGATTTTATCTACAATAGCAAAAGAAAAAAAGAAAAAAAAAACCTATCCATAAACTTAGAAGAAATGTATACAGTAAATTAATTGAAGAAACCTTAGAATAATATTGAGGCACACAAAAGCAGGCTTTAACAAATCAAATACATACTTCATTCTTGGATGAAAGATTAAAGATGTCAGCTCTCCCAATACCAATCTACACATTTAAAGGAACCCTATTAAAATAATAATAATAATAAATGAATAAATAAATAAAGGAACCCTATTAATTCTACTAGGATATTGTTTCACTTAATTTTCACTTTTAAGTTCTTATTTGTCTTTTATTTTTATACCTTATTTATGCATTACCTGTTCAAAAACTAATTTTTTAAAGAAGTAAAAATCCCTGCCATTGACTTATTTAAAATCTACTTAGAAAGTAGGACATGCAAAAGGTAAAGTAATTTGCAAAGAATTTCTTAAGTGTGGGTAAGGGGGATGATCGTCTATAGATTCAAATGCTGCAGAGAGGTCAGTGTGGACTGAATTACTGAGATGACTTTAACAGTCAGAAATCACTGGTACTATAGTTGTGGTTTTAGTGAGTTGCTGAAAATGAATGCTAGTGGCTCTGATACCTAGTGACCCCTTAAGGTTGGGTGACAGCTGTGAAAATAGCATTTCATTTTAGGGGCTACTATTACATACTTAAAATTCTTCATGGTGTGAGTTTCTTAGAGCTTCCTTGAACTTTTGCTTAATTCTGTGGATTTGCAAGAAGGGTTGGGGAAGAGTGGGAGAATGGGCAGAAAGAGGTTCCATTTTCTTGCACAGCTTCCCCCAGCTCTTCTCATTTCTTATGTGAGAAGAAAATACCCAGGTAAACAGATAAATAATTTTTTAAAATAACGCAGTAAGTACATAGTACTAAAAATACCAAATAATAAATAAGGCTATAAAATGGAAAGTGAAACACTAAGCTTCCCACCTATTTCATTTCCCAGAAGTAATTTGTTTCTTCTCTATCATTTCAAAGCTCATATATATGCAAATATTTTGGAGTGTTTACTTGCAGTGTATTTTGGAGATAGTTCCATAAGAGCACATACAAATTTACAGTTTAAAAATATCTATCTATCTATCTTTTTCAAGTTCAACTTCAAAATTATACTTTAAATAGTATAGAAAAATACAAAAAAAAAACTAAGGGTCCTTTCCTTCCTACCTTCACTCCCATTCCCAGTCCTCAAATTTAACCACTATTAAGTTTCTTCTATATTCTTTCAGGAATGCTTTATATATTTATATGTCTCTAGATATCCTTGAAAATATCTGTAGAAGTCTTGTCATACTTGCTCATTTATTTACAAATATTTGTTGATAAAAAGTTAAAATAAATTTTAAAAGTTTATTTAACAGAAGGGCAGTGACTAGCCCCAACTCAGTCTCACCGGATCGTTGTCATATAGGAACATGGGTCCCATGAAACTAGGTTTTCCCATTTTTTGAGATGCCAGAAATAAAAAATTTTAAGTCAAACCTCTCAATTTTGAATCTAATTACAAAGAACAGTTTATTGAGTACCACCTGGGAGGTACTCTGATGACGGTAGTCAGAGCAAACTGTTCATCTTCACTTCTGTTAAAATTATTTTTACCACCTTGTAAAACCATAAAACACTATGGGAAAAATATTATGGATAACATGATTGGGACTATGGGTCTTCGACCATTTTTCCTAATGCTAATTATTACTTCCTCAGCCCCAAAGTAATTATCATTTTGATGTGTGTGTGTGTGTGTGTGTGTGTGTCCTTCTACAATTTTTTCTCCATTTTTTTAATGTACAGATATACATTGTAGCCACAAGAAATATAAGTGGTATTTTTATGTAAACATCTCATACCACGTTTTGTTCTACGGCATACTTTCCTCAGTTAACAGTATGATCTGTTAGATTACCTCATTCTTTTTAGTTCACTTCATAGTATTTCATAGCTTGAATATACTACCTTTTTTCTATTTTAAATATTTAGGTTGTTTTCTAACAAATAATGCTCTATGAATATCCTTATATACATGTACAAATGGGTTAGGTGTCTATAAGTGAAATTGTAGTGCTATAGGTTATGTGAATTTAAAATTTTAATAGGTGCTACCCTATTTGGCAAACCAAAGCCCTCTAAGGTACAGAAACTTACCAGCTGTCTATGAAGACTTGTTTCCCTATACCCAGTGTAATAGGAACACACACAGGTAAGAGGTAAGAAAATTTTTGAGGAAAAAAATTAATTTATTATGATAATTTGGAAAATTACTATCTATTGTTTTATGTGGGGTTAGGCAAGGCTTCACTTTTCTACACCTTATTTTGGAGGTGACTGACACGACATTTTTTTGCAAATAAGGTATTTTGAAAATTAGAATAATAATTAAAAATGGCTTTGAATAAGTATGAAAAGCTTATGTGTTGACTATGAGTTATATCTTAATTCTGTTTCTAAATTGTTTAGTGGAAAGAAATGTTAATGGAACATTGTTGTCTCAAGCAACTTGTAAGCTCTGTGATGAAAGTGAAGACTCTTTCACGGTAGCAGATGCTTTAGGAAACAGGTAAGAAGTGTGCTGATACTAACTTTTTAAATATCATATTTATGTAGAATCTGTACCTTTTTAAAGTACTTTCCTGTCATATCACGTGCTCCTTGTAATAACCCAGGGTAGGATAGAAGGAGATATTAACACATAAAGAAGCTGGTCAGAGAATGAGACTGAATAGAGTTCAAATCTTGGCTTTGTTTTAGTTGATGACCTTGGCTAGCTCAATAAATCAGTCTCTTTGACTTTAGAATGGGGATATACCACTTACTTCATATTCTTTAATGTGGTAACTTGTATTTACAGCATACTATATGCCAGGTACTGTGCTTTATGTGTTATAATGTTATATTAAAAAGCATATTAATAAGTATAATGATAATAATAACCCAGGAATCCTGATTTTTAGCCCTGTTCTCTATCATTTCCTGTTCTCCCTTTATGCATGTACACATGCACCACACACACATACACCCCCTCCCACTCTCTAGCTCAAACATATTATCCTTATCTAAACTTCTTTAATTTTTTAGAGACCTACATGATGACTTCCCCCTAAAGACAGTTTTCAATTCTCAAGTTTAAGGTAGAACATACTTAAGCAGCTTTCTCTAGGGACACTTAGTGTTGAATCATCTCTTGTCTCAGGCTGATAGGGATTGTAGCATCCAAATACTGACTACTGGGCTGACTACTAAGTCTTCCCGTCCAGTATCTCCTCAAGACAAGTCCGAGTTCTGTGCTGCACCCCAGCCCCTGCTCCTACCTGCTCTATCTTGCAAGTGATGAATACCCATACAAACCCATCATGTCTCCACTAGTCTGGTGGATGCTCTTCATCCCTCTATGTAATTCATTAATATGAATAAGTATTTTCCTAAAATAAAGGTGATGCATAGATTTTAAAAGTTTGGCCGTAGGTTTGATGATGGGATGAGACACAGGTATCTTTTCAGCATCTGTTACCTTTTTGCTTTGTGGCAGACAAAATGAGGAAAGTATATTTGATATAACTACTTATAAAAATGGATTAGGTTTCATTTTTATGAGTTTGTTGGCTCTTTTAATTGAATGATTTAACTGTCTTTGCCATTCACTATTATTTTTTCTTTATATTCCATGTAGTTTCAAAAGAATACTCTCCTATTATTACTTAATTTTATTTATATCTTGCTTTATAGTACAAAGAGTGGTATAAAACTATTCAAATCAGTGTTAATATTTTTAATTTTATTACAAGCAATTGCTTAGTTGAATGAATCTCTCTAATCCAGCATTTAGGAAAACAAGTTTTCAATTTAATAAGATTTAGTATAATTCATTAACATTTAAAAAATGTTTTATTATGTTGACAGGTGTATCCCTTGTGAACCAACATTCATCAATACCAACAGATCCTGTACATGTTCAGAACCTAACATTTTAGTAAGGCTAAATCACATTGATAAAGTATGTATTTTAAATTATATTGCTAATACCGTTCCATAAACTGGGTTTTGTTTTGTTTTGTTATTTATTTATGAAGACCGGGGGATTATGTTTCAGCAGCACAGTGAATTTTCCTCCCCGTATAATTTCAGCTGCCCGTTACGGAGAACTTGTGAGTATGTTTCAATTTTATTGTTCCGTTCTTGAGATCTTTTTGTATTTATTCCTTTGGTAATTAATTTGGGGCTGAAATGAGAAATGTGTAAATAATTTTAAAACAAAAATTAGGAATCTAAGAAACACTAACAACTCAGCATTATATTGTATAAGTCCAGTTACTCTCTGTTTTACTTTCTAGCTCATTCCTTTTTTAGTGGATCTCAAAATTTGCTCAAGTAAAACTGGACTTTTTTAGAGATTCTATAAAAAATACATTACAACACTGTTAAAAGCATCAGAAACTTGAGATTTTACTCGAGATTTGAATCCTGGGTTTGCCAGTTCTTAGTTTTTTATTCTTAGACTTACTTAACATTTCTAAACTTCAGTTTTATTTTCCGTAATTTTATTTTATAACATAATAATACTGCACATGCTTGTATATGGTAATCACTGGGGAAATGAGGGTTATTTGTATCAGGTCATGTTCCTTATTTTATATATGAGAGCTTGGAAACCTGTGGTTAGAGCTTTTGCAACAGAGGCTTGAGATGACAATGTCTGGGCTATAAAATGGGAAGTAAGTGGATGAATTGGAACTGAAGAGGTCATACAAGAAAACAGAAGTTAGATAACTAAGTAGGAGTTAGTTAATGAGCACTGATGATACCTGGTATGCCAGCCCAGCTCAGAGTGGACAAGCTAGGATCTGGTTGCTAAAGTCATCCTTGGATAAGTGGGAGTGATTAGGAGGGCTGTGAAGATAGGCATGTTAAGGTTAGAATCTGGGCTCTTGATGAATAAAGCAAGAATTCCTTTCCTGCAGTATATATTGTGGAGGTCACAAGCGAAGACCAAATATTTGCAAAACAGTAAAATAGACGTTTAAATGAGAATATAAAGGGAGCTCTGACATCACCCCCAAACTGACTCATTTGTAACAAGATGCATGTCTTCTGGGACATTCTTCCCCTACCTCCGATTATAGTGAACTTCTGTATACCACTATCAAACTTACAGGACTTCAGTTTTCCTTTTTTAAAATTTAAAATTTAAAATAAATAAAAATAATTCTGCCAGAATCCCCAACATCGTCTCGTTTTCCTATTTGGCCTCAGATCACCAGTCTGAGAAGTCATGCCCTTTTCATTCTCCAATCTGAAACAAGTCCTTAGTCTTTCCTGGTCTTTCATGAACTCAACACTTTTGAATATTACAAACCTAACAATTTATAAGATGACCTGTGACCTGGAACCCTACTCTTTTCTCATAATAAGACTTTTCCTGTTTATTTGTTAATTAATATCTGTATGAATGAGTGAGTTCCTATTTTATTAAAATGGTTGTAATCCCATATATGCATTGTTTTGATACTCAAATTGTCCTAGACTTGGTCTTAGAAACCCCTTCACATTAGCTCGTATATCTTTCTAGCATATCACCATTATTTTTTGAGCATTTCCTTTCTGGCATAACAAGATTTCCAGAATGCAGTAGATCAATTGCAGACTTCTCTGGTTGGAAGGGAAGGTGGGCCGGGAAAGGCTGTTCCATTCTTAATGCTAATCTGATTTAGTTAATGTATTTCATTTAAACATGCTAGTCATGAACACTGATGCTTTCCTAAGCGCAAATTTGGAACCCCTGCTTTTAAGTCATTTTATAACTGGTGTTCATACTGGTTGTGTGTGGCCAGAATATGAAACATGTAAATAAGTGAAGTTAAGATTATGTAGCTATCTTGACTCTGTCTGTCCTCAAACTTGGCAGGTGTAAGAACTCAGTTTTATCAGTGCCTTTGTAGGTCAGTCAGGTTGTAAGGGATGGTTTAAAGTAATTAAACTCTTAAAAGATTACATAGACTGATAAAGCAGAATATGCTTGTTTATTAGTTAATGTTGAGACTGTAATTGCCAGCTGGACTAAAGTACTTGTGTTGACTCAATAACATATAACCTTCCTAATTGGAAAAGCACATTAGAATATTACAGGTTAGATGTTTTTCTGGGTAATACAGAATTAGGTCATAATTAGTTTGGTTTAATTTTTTGAGAGGCATCCAATCCCACTCTAGGAATATACTTGCCAAATAGTATAGAATTTCCATATATATGGGTGAGTATCTTCTTACTGACTTTCCCCAAAGATAGTAATAGTGATCTAGCATCTTGGTTTCATTTGTTTTTCCCAAATTTTATTTTGAAAAATTTCAAAATAACAGAAAAGTTAAAAAATTAAGGCACTATGTATATCTGTTTTACTTAGGTTAATCAACTATTAATGTTTTGCCACATGTGCTTTATCTCTGTGTATATAAATGCATATATATATGCACACACATGTACACATACATATGTGCACATTTTTTTTTCTGAACCATTTGAAAATAAGTTGTAGACATGTGACATTTCACTTCTAAATACTTTATTATGTAGCTCCTAAGATCAAGGGCACTTTCCAGACATCACACCCAAGAAATTTTAAATTAATATAATAGAATTGCCTGATACTCTGTTTATATCCAAATTCCCCCTCTTATTCCAATAATGTCCTTTATTCCCCCACTCCTTCTTTTGGGGAAAGGGAGAATCCAGGATCCAGTCAAGGCTCACATTGCAATTACTCTTTTTAGTCTCTTAATCTAGACCCTTGCTCTGTTTTGCTTTTTTTGCTGTTAGAGCATTGACTCTTGTAGTCTGTCCCACAATGTGGATTTTTCTGGTGGTTTTCTCATGATAAGACTCAGTGAAATATCTTTTTGAAAAAATATTATATAGGTGTTATATACAGCACATTGCATCATAAGAAAAGGCAGATAATGTCACTTACCCAGGATGCTAAATTTGATTGTCTGTCTGGTGCTTCTCTCCATTCTAAAGGTACTGTGATCTATAAGTTAGTCTGAGACTATACTTTTGAGACCATGAAAATATCCATGTTAAAAACCATCGATGCAATTTGCCTGAATCAATTAAATTGGTCATTTCAAAATGACTTTGCAGTTCTATTATTCCCTCTCATTCATTAGCTAGCTGTCTTCTGTAGATTGCTTTACTTTCTGTGTCTTTTTTTTTTTTTTGAGCCTAACTGCAAACTCAGGAAATATTTGTTTATTCAATATGTTATAATTGACTATTTTCACTCTTCTTCTCAAAGCTCAAATTGCCCCAAATTTGGACTTTCCTTTTGAGATAGCTCCTGTGTTATTTTGACATGTCTCCATTAACCTTTTTGCACTTCCTTGGTTTCTGTGCTCAACCAACATAATAATAATTTTTAATAGTACATAACACTGTAGTTCATGCACTGAAATTATACAATTGTACCTTCTTTGAATATTTAGATTTTCTGTTATCAATAGTATTCCTCTCAACCATTATATGCCGATATGTTTTTCCTTTTGGAGAGATTATCATCTTAAGATAAATTTAGGTGTTTCTAAATTCCTAGGTTAAAGTGTGTGCATATTATTTTATCAGGGCATCACTCAACTTCAGCTCTATCACTGGCATTGTCTGTGGGTTCATTTTCCATGACTTTGTAAGCACTGTTGCCATTGCTTTCCATTTTTACTAGTTTTTTGATATGTTGCATGAATTTTTTTTCTTACAAAATGTGAATTTTTGCTTATTGAAGAGATGAGAATAGTGATTCATGTAATTTTATATTTTTTTGATACCTCTGGTGCCATGTTGCATGTAATTTAGTTTTATCTTCCTGGTCTATGCCCAGAGAATCTACTCTGAATGGTGCTTTTCACTGTCTTATTTTTTAGCAAGATGTGCAGATAAGCTCTAAAGCAGTTGTTCTTAGCCAGAGGTTTGTATCTGCATCTTTCAGATTGCATGCATGTTTTGGTCTCTTCCAAGAGATTCTGATTGATTTGATTTAGAAACCAGGCATTTTCTTTTTTAGGAAATTCCACAGGTGATTCTGATGCCCAGCATTGTGTGAGAATCACCACTTGGAGGTTATAAATGTTACTCTGGGTATCCCCAATCTCCTGTTGCTTAGAAATCATTCATAAATATTTATTTTTTATTAATTGCCAATTTAACACAATACAGTGATCCTAAATTAGTGCATGTTAACCAGCCAATACTAAATCAGTATCAAGTTTTTCTTTTTTTTTTTTTGTCCACCTTGTTCTTTGTTTTTTGTATTAGTGAAATGGGCATAGTAATTTTTTTGGATTACAGATATACTTTGTTTCCTTATGTCTCTTGCCAAAATGACAAAATTTGTAATGAAGTCCTATTTGTAATAGCTGACATTGGTTAGAATTGTTTTCTTATATTCTTATTTGAATTTATTTTTCTCATAACACTGAAAGAAAAATACTAGTTATTTTCCATTGGACAATGTGCATATTAATCTCTTCCTAACAATGTAAATTTAAGGAATCTTCTTTTGAGCCTAAAACTAAAATTCATCTTTTTGTTTACAGGGCATGTCTCTTACTTCAGAATGGTTTGCAAAGTATTTGCAATCATCAGCAGCTGCTTGTTTGGTCAGTTTGAATTTTTAGAAAACAATTTTATTTCATTTTGAAAAAACTATGGTACCACTTTTTTCCCCAAGATAATGAAAGTTTTCTAAGTAGATATATCTCTTTCATCATGTTCTATAAGAAGAATAAGCCCTTTCTAGTGGATTAAAAGAAGGAAAATGTTATTCATTTCACATTTCATTGTACACAAATTGTATGTCTCCAAGCTTATTCAGCTAGAATTGAGTGTTAGGGGACACTGATTCATACTGTCATTTACTAAATGTTTATTGATGACTTACTGTGTGCCAGGTCCTGTTCTCAAATCAGGTTATATATTTCATAAAAAGATAGAAAAATCCATCATGGAATTATATTAGAAATAAATGTCAGGTGGTGCTATGCAGTAGGAAGACATATAAACCAGGAGAAAGAGCATAGAGAGTGGAAGGGGTACTCTTTTATACAGGGTAGTCAGGATATGTTTCCTGTTAGGGTTGTATATGAACAAAGACCTGAAGCAAGTGAGAGTGAGCCATGTGAAATCCCAGGGAAGAGTGTTCTAGGTGGAGACCAGGGCAAGTACAGAGGTCCCAAAACAGGAGTTCCCTGGCATGTTCAACTAAGAAACAGGAAGGAGGCTGGAGTGGATGGAGCAGAATGAGCAGGGAAAGCGGAGGAATGATGAGTTCAGGGATGAAGAGAGGGCTTTGGCAGGGACCTAGAGTTCACTGTAAGGAAGATAGAAGGATTTTGTGCAAGGGGAAGTATGATTGAATTTCAGGTTTTGAAAGGAACACTCTAGCATGGAGAATAGATTTTGCTGGGGCAAGGACAGAAACAGGGAGACCAGTTAGGAGCATTACAATCTGAGTGAATGAAAGTAGACCTGTGGATGAGTGTGGTACCATGGAAATGAGAGAAGGGTTTAGTCTCTGGATAAACTCTGACGAGTGAGCCAACAGGATTTACTGATGAGTTGGATATGGGAAGGGAGAAAAAGACCACTGTGATGTTTGGCTTGAATAACTACAAAAATGGAGTTGCCTTTTCCTGATAAGGAAAACTGAAAAAGAAGTTTGAACAACTAACTCAATAAATGATCTTACTTTGTTGTTCATAAAACAGATTGCTTAAACCAAATGGATTAGACTTATATGCATAGATTCTAATATATAAATTATTATTATTTCAGTTATAATTATTTAATTGTTGCTTTAAATATCATGTTGTGTTTTAGTTCTTTTTTCAATTGCCTGTCTTTATATTTTTGCCTAAAATTTATAATTAAACATATTATTCATCTGTCATATGAAAAGTTCTTTTCTATTTAAATTAGATGAAAGGTATTAAAAAGCAAAAAAATACTCCATAAAAGTATTTATAAAATAGGTCAAATTAAAACCAAGCAAATTTTTATATCAAGTTTTCCTTAGAGTAGTAAAGTCCATGTTACATTTCTCTGCCATTATTCTTTTATAGGTGTATGCCAATCTAACATCTTGCCAAGCTCTCGGAAATATGTGTGTGATGAACATGAATTCTTATGACTCTGTCACTCTTGATGCATGTCAACTGTTTCAGTTTATCTTTAAAAATACTGCTAGACTGCATACTGTTCATTCAGTTTCTTTTTGGTAAGGATATGCTACTTGATGAACTGTCATTTCAACCTAATTCAGTGTAGCTATTTTCCCGAATATTAATATTAAGAAATGCACCCCATTATTAACACAATTGTAATTGTCTATAGGAGACAGAATCTTCCATGGCTGTTCTATGGAGACCAACTAGGATTAGCTCCTCAAGTACTCAGGACTACACCTCTTCCTACAAATTTCATTTTTAAAGGGCAAAATAAGGTACAAGTCACTGTATCATTATAGCATGACTACATTATAAATTGTAATTTTGAAAGGTAATAAGAATGTTATAGTCACAATTCTTCCTTTAGTTCTTTTATTTTAATAAAAAGTATTTTTACTAATGTATTATTGATATACACTCTTCTGAAGGTTTCACATGAAAAACAATGTGGTTACTACATTCATCCATATTATCAAGTTCCCCCCTTATCCCATTGTAGTCACTGTCCATCAGTATAGTGAGATGCGAGTCACTACTTGTCTTCTCTGTGCTATACTGTCTTCCCCATGTTCCCCCCACATCATGGGTACTAATCATAATACCCCTTAATCTCCTTCTCCCTCCCTCCCCACCTGCCCTCCCCCATGTGTCTCCTTTGGTAACCTCTAGTCCCTACTTGGAGAGTATGAGTCTGCTGCTGTTTTGCTCCTTCAACTATGCTTCGTTGTTATGCTCCACAAATGAGGGAAATCATTTGGTACTTCTCTTTCTCTGCCTGGCTTATTTCACTGAGCATAATACCCTCTAGCTCCATCCATATTGTTGCAAATGGTAGGATTTGTTTCTTTTTTATGGCTGAATAGTATTCCATTGTGTATATGTATCACATCTTCTTTAACCATTCAACTACTGATGGACACTTAGGTTGCTTCGGTATCTTGGCTATTGTAAATAGTGCTGCAGTAAACATAGAGGTGCATATGTCTTTTTGAATCTGAGAACTTGTAATCTTTGGGTAAATTCCTTGGAGTGGAATTCCTGAGACAAATGGTATTTCTATTTTTAGTTTTTTGAGGAACCTCCATATTGCTTTCCACAATGGTTGAACTAGCTTACATTCCCACCAGCAGTGTAGGAGGATTCCCCTTTCTCTGCATCCTCACCAGCATTTGTTGTTCTTAGTCTTTTCGATGCTGGCCATCCTTACTGGTGTGAGATGATATCTCATTATGGTTTTAATTTACATTTCCCTGATAATTAGAAATGTGTAGCATATTTTCATATGCCAGTTGACATCTGAATTTCTTCTTTGGAGAATTGTCTGGTCATATCCTCCACCCATTTTTAATAGGGTTATTTGCTTTTTGGTTGTTGAGGCATGTGAATTCTTTATATATTTTGGATGTTAACTCCTCGTCAGATAGGTCATTTACAAATTTTTCTCCCATACTGTAGGATGCCTTTTTGTGCTGCTCATGGTGTCCTTTGCTGTGCAGAAGCTTTTTAGCATGGTATAGTCGCACTTGTTCATTTTTTATTTTGTTTCCCTTGTTATAGGAGATGCATTAAGAAAAAGTTGCTCATATTTATATTCAGGATATTTTTGCCCATGTTTTCTTCTAAGAGTTTTATGGTTTCATGACTTACATTCAGGTCTTTGATCCATTTTGAGTTTACTTTTGTGTATAGGGTTAGACAATAATCCAATTTCATTCTCTTCCATGTAGCTGTCCAGTTTTGCCAGCACCAGCTGTTGAAGAGGCTGTCATTTCCCCATTGTATGTCCATGGCTCCTTTATCGTATATTAATTGACCATATATGCTTCGGTTTATATCTGAACTCTCAGTCTGTTCCATTGATCTGTGGATCTGTTCTTGTGCCAGTACCAAATTGTCTTGATTACTGTGGCATTGTAGTAGATCTTGAAGTTGGGGAGCATAATATCCCCAGCTTTATTCTTCCTTCTCAGGATTGCTTTGGCTATTCATGGTCTTTTGTGGTTCCATATGAATTTTAGGATGACTTTTTCTAGTTCATTGAAGAATGCTATTTGTATTTTGATAGGAATTGTATTGAATCTGTAGATTGCTTTAGGCACGATGGCCATTTGGATAATATTAATTCTTCCTATCCATGAGCACGGGATGTGTTTCCATTTATTGGTATCTTCTTTAATTTCTCTCATGAGTGTCTAGTAATTTTCAGGGTATAGATCTTTCACCCCCTTGGTTAGGTTTATTCCTAGGTATTTTATTCTTTTTGATGCAATTATGAATGGAATTGTTTTCCTGATTTCTCTTTCTGCTAGTTTATTGTTAGTGTATAGGAATGCAACAGACTTCTGTGTATTAATTTTGTATCCTGTAACTTTGCTGAATTCAGATATTAGATCTAGTAGTTTTGGAGTGGATTCTTTAGGGTTCTTTATGTACCATATCATGTCATCTGCAAACAGTGACAGTTTGGCTTTTTCCTTACCAATCTGGATGCCTTTTATTTCTTTGTGTTGTCTGATTGCTGTGACTAGGACCTCCAGAACTATGTTGAATAAAAGCAGGGAGAGTGGGCATCCTTGTCTTCTTCCCAATCTTAAAGGAAAAGCTTTCAACTTCTCACTGTTAAGTATGATGTTGGCTGTGGGTTTATCATATATGGCCTTTATTATGTTGAGATACTTGCCCTCTATATCCATTTTGTTGAGAGTTTTTATCATGAATGGATGTTGAATTTTGTCAAATGCTTTTTCAGCATCTATGGAGATGATCATGTGATTTTTGTCCTCTTTGTTATCTGGTGGATGATGTTGATGGATTTTCAAATGTACTATCCTTGCATCCCTGGAATAAATCCTACTTGATCATAATGGATGATCTTTTTGATGTATTTTTGAATTCGGTTTGCTAATATTTTGTTGAGTATTTTTGCATCTATGTTCATCAGGGACATTAGTCTCTAATTTTCTTTTTTTGTGGTGTCTTTCCCTGGTTTTGCTATTAGTGTGATGCTGGCCTTATAGAATGAGTTTGTGAATATTCTCTCTTCTTCTACTTTTTGGAAAACTTTAAGGAGGATGGTTATTAGGTCTTCTCTAAATGTTTCATAAAATTCAGCAGTTAAACCATCTGGTCCAGGAGTTTTGTTCTTAGGTAGTTTTTTGATTACCAATTCAATTTCATTGCTGGTAATTGGTCTGTTCAGATTTTTCTGTTTTCTTCCTGGGTCAGCCTTGGAAGATTGTATTTTTCTAGAAAGTTGTCCATTTCTTCTAGGTTTTCCAGTTTGTTAGCATATAATTTTCATAGGATTCTCTCACAATCTTTGTCTTTCTGTGGTGTCAGTAGTGACTTTTCCTTTCTCATTTCTGATTCTGTTTATGTGTGTAGAGTCTCTTTTTTTCTTAATAAGTCTGGCTAGGGGTTTATCTATTTTGTTTATTTTCTTGAAGAACCAGCTTCTGCTTTCATTGATTCTTTCTATTGTTTTATTCTTCTCAATTTTATTTATTTCTGCTCTAATTTTTATTATATCCCTCCTTCTACTGACTTTGGGCCTCATTTGTTCTTTTTCTAGTTTTGTTAATTGTGAGTTTAGACTGTTCATTTTGGATTGTTGTTATCTCCTGGGGTAGGCCTATATTGCAGTATACTTCCCTGTTAGCATGGCCTTTGCTGCATCCCACAAATTTTGCATTGTTGAATTATTGTTTCCATTTGTCTCCATATATTGCTTGATCTCTGTTTTTATTTGATCATTGATCCATTGATTCTTTAGAACCATGTTATTAAGCCTCCATGTGTTTGTGGGCTTTTTCATTTTCTTTGTGTAATTTATTTCTAGTTTCATACCTTTGTGATCTGAGAATCTGGTTTGTACAATTTCAGTCTTTTTGAATTTACTGAGATTCTTTTTGTGGCCTTGATATCTATTCTTGGAAATGTTCCATGTGCACTTGAGAAGAATGTGTAACCTGTTGCTTTTGGGTGGAGTGTTCTGTAGATGTCATGAGGTCTATCTGTTCTAATATGTTGTTCACTGCCTCTGCCTCCTTATTTCCTGTCTGGTTGATCTATCCTTTGGGGTGAGTGGTGTGTTTAAGTCTTCTAAAATGAATACACTGCATTCTATTTCCTCCTTTAATTCTGTTAGTATTTGTTTCACATATGTAGGTGCTCCTGTGTTTCGTGCATGGATACTTATAATGGTTATATCCTCTTGTTGGACTGCCCTTTATCATTATGTAATATCCTTCTTTGTCTCTTGTTACTTTCTTTGTTTTGAAGTCTATTTTGTCTCACACAAGTACTGTAACACCTACTTTTTTCTCCCTGTTAGCTGCATGAAGTATCTTTTTCCATCCCTTCACTTTTAGTCTGTATATGTTCTTTGGTTTGAAATGAGTCTCTTATAGGCAGCATATATATGGGTCTTTTTTTTAATCCATTCAGTGACTCTGTGTCTTTTGATTGGTGCATTCAGACCATTTACATTTAGGGTGATTATCAATAGGTATGTACTTATTGCCATTGCAGGCTTTAGATTCGTGGTTACCAAAGGTTCAAGGGTAACTTCCTTACTATTGAACAGTCTAAAACTTAACTCACTTAGCATGCTATGACAAACACAATCTAAAGATCCTTTTTTTTTGTTCTTCCTTTTTCTTCCTGTTCCATTCTTTATATATTAGGTATCATATTCTGTACTCTCTGTCTATCCCTTGACTGACTTTGGGAGTAGTTGATTTGATTTTGCATCTGCATAGTAATTAATTGTTCTAATTTCTTTACTGTGGTTTTATTTTCTCTGGTGACAGCTATTTAGCCATAGGAACACTTCCATCTATAGCAGTCCCTCCAAAATACACTGTAGAGATGGTTTGTGGGAGGTAAATTCTCTCAGTTTTTGCTTATCTGGAAATTGTTTAGTCCCTCCTTCAAATTTAAATGATAATCTTGCCAGGTAGAGTATTCTTGGTTTGAGGCCCTTCTGCTTCATTGCATTAAATATATCATGCCAGTCCCTTCTGGCCTGTAAGGTGTCTGTTGAGAAGTCTGATGATAGCCTGATGGGTTTTCCTTTGTATGTGATCTTATTTCCCTCTCTGGCTACTTTTAATACTCTGTCCTTATCCTTGATCTTTGCCATTTTAATTATATGTCTTGGTGTTTTCCTCCTCAGGTCCCTTGTGTTGGGAGATCTGTGCACTACCATAGCCTAAGAGACTATCTCCTTCCCCAGATTGGGGAAGTTTTCAGTAATTACCTCCTCAAAGACACTCTCTATTCATTTTTCTCTCTTCTTTTCTGTTACCCCTGTAATGCAAATATTGTTCCATTTGGATTGGTCACACAGTTCTCTCAATATTCTTTCATTCCTACAGATCCTTTTTTCTCTCTGTGCCTTAGCTTCTTTTTATTCCTCTTCTCTAATTTCTATTCCATTTTCCTTCTCCACTATATCTAATCTGCTTTTTTAATCCCTTCATTGTATGTTTCATTTTCGTATTATATGTCATTTTGGGAGGAGACCTCTGTCTCACCTCTCACGCTGCTATCTTCAATCTTTTTTGCTTTAGTTCTTTTAAATTTTAATTAGTAAATGAAACCTAAATATATGTAGAAACTAAACTATAGAATTGCGCTCTCTTGAGTATATGGCTACCTCTGTATTATATGGTTACAGCAACAAGTTGTGCTTGTTGTATTGGAAGGGTAGTTTTCATCACCAAAATCCAAACAATCAATGTCTTGTATCTCTAGTTTTTAAAAAGTACTTCCAAAGATTGATTGGGACTCTGTGCCATTTCCCCAGGACTTTACAGGTCCAAATTCTCAACTCCCTATTTTTTGATCTTCTAGAATGAAGGAATAGATTATTCCTTTCCCTACTCACTCCCCATCTCCCAACTCACATTTTAGCAGTTTTACAAGGATGTTATCTGTCACTTTCACTGCCTCTCAATTCTGAAATAATAATTTTCTTGCAAAAAAATAACAATCCATTTATTTTAAGTGTGTTAATCATAGAAATACTTAACTTTGCTTCAAAGAAAAGATAGTTGAATTTAATATTTCATCTCTGGAGAAAGACAAGATCTGTCAACAATGAAAATTTCTTTATAGAATGCTATATTTCAGAGTATGTGGCATTATTTTATTCTTGTACTTATTTAATCAGAATTCAAAACTGAAGTTTATTGCTGCTTCCTATGATGTAAGAGGAAATTTTCTCAAGTGGCAAAGTTTAGAAGGAGGTGTTTTACAGGTGAGCATAATTTCAGCTAATGAATTACTAATGTGCCCCATTTTTGCCTGATGCAAAGATGAGGAAAAGACCAGATTACCGCTTGATTATTTTATCAGTTGTATACTACAGTTGATTTTTTTCTGAAAGCTACTTTAAATGGGAATTTCTTGAAGCTACTTTAAGTTGTGATATTATAACAAAGATACCCCCTTAACTTTTTACACCCTTAATATATTAAATAAATATTACACAAAATATGTCCATGTTGGGGCTTGAGAACTCTTGATTATAAGCAGAAAAAACATTATGAGAGGTATTTATTATTTGTATTATTTTGCTACAGCTCTGTCCAGACACAGAAACAAGACTAAATGCTGCTTATTCTTTTGGAACAACCTATCAACAAAATGTAAGTTTGACTGAATTCACAGTCTTCATTTTTCACATCAGCAATAATTGGAATAATCTTTGAATTTTTAAAATTAGAAATGTTTTTCATATTAATGGATAGTTTCACTCATTTACATAGTCTTCTATTACCTGGGTAGAGAAAATACTAATTTACTCAACATGAAGAGAGTACTTTGTCATGTTTAGAGTCTGAAGCATAATGTTAGATTTTCATAGTTAATTGTTTATTGACTTTTAGGCATATAGGTCTTAAAAATAATGTGTATTTCTGGACATTTTATAATAAAGTAAAAATATTAACTTTATTTTTAATGACCAGTAAGATATTACCCCCTCTTCCCTCTATATTCCAGTAACAAATAAAAATGCTTCCTTTTCTCTCCCTTCATACTTTCCTCCCACCTCCCTTCCCTGACTTTCCTTCCTTTGGTATCCAATTTTTTTGTAATTACAGTATAGTACAAAGGAATATTATGAGCCATTAAACATTTGAATCACTAATCTACAAGACCACTTCTTGATAAGGTGCATATACACACACCATAGAATAAAACTGATTCCAGTTTTGTTAAAACCATAATGAAAAATACCATCATAGAAGACAATAAACATTTTTAACAGTGGTTATCTCTGAACGGTGGAATTATAGGTGATTTATTTTTCTTTTTTGTATTTTCCAAATTTTCCATCACGAACATGAATTTACTATCATTTTCAAAAATGACTTACATGTTGTTTTTTAAAAAAAGAAGGAAGTGTTACTATATGTCTACCATGGACCAGGAGAATCAATACTTACTAAATGCCTGCTGCTGTGTTCTCAGCATTTTATCATTGTTATTTTATTTGATCCATGAAATAGCTATGTGAGATACATATTATCTATGCTTCACAGATGAGGAAGTAGTGCTTAGTGAGACTAGGTAATTTACTCAAGGTCTTGCATCAAGTAAATTGTAGAACCAGTGTTCTGTTAGGCTTTAAAAAAACATGGTTTTTCCATTAAACTTGGCTACCTCTGAAGTGGTTCACAGCCTAATAGAGAAAACATCTGTATAGACAAAAAATTACAAAGACTGTAATAAGTGTTGTTCTCTAGGGACCACATTGGCACAAAGGAAGGGTCATGAACACTTCCTGGGGTAGAACAGAAAGAATTCACAAAGTGAGTCAAACTTGGGCCTGTAGAATGAAATTGAGTTTGCCAGAAGAGCACAGTGGGCCAGGAATGTCAGGCAGAAACATTTGCGACATCCAAGAGACAGAAGAGCTTAACATATTTAGGAACAGCAAGTATTATAAAAAAAATACATTTGTAGTATTCATGTTTTGGAAGGCACATGGAAATGCATATAAACAAGATAGTTTAAAGATATTTTATCTTAAAAAATCAAAAAACACTTATTTAAAGGTAATAAATATGCTTTCTAATTCTCAATTGGGATGATTTTGTTTTACATTTTATTTTCTAGTGTGAAATTCCTCTCTCTAAGATCTTAAATGACTTTCCCACTCCTATATTTTATGATGTATATGTTGAATATACCAATGAAAATCAACACCAGTATATTTGGGCTGTGCCTGTATTAAACCTAAATCTTCAACACAATAATATATTTGTGAACCGAGGTGAGACATCCTTATATACTACTCTCTATGAGTTGAAACCAATAAATATATCAACCAACATGATAGTAAACCATGTATTATAAAGTCATGGATTCTCTCTTACTATATGGTTTTGTATAGCATGAACAAAAGTAAAACAATAAGATTGTTAGTTGTTTACAATTTTTACTAAATGTGTCAGGATTACTGTTAAGAAATTAATATTATTACTAAGATTATATCCTGAGAAGAGTTAGAACTATAATTTGGGGCTTCTTCAAGATTTCCATGAGCTGCTTTTTGGTCAAATTAGTTTCTTTTCTTGTTTCCCATATTATAAAATCCTGCTTATTCAGGAAATTTGAAGGGAAAATCCTTCCAAACTAATGAAGAGTCCAATCAGAAGACATTCAAGTGAGGTGAGGAAAGCTGTTACTAGGAATTGCTTATAGCAGTAGCTGTCTTTATAACCACAGTATCTTAAACAAAATGTATTATCTTTATGTTTTAAATTTGTTCAATAAACTCCTTGAGAACCATCTTAAACAATTTGAAGGGTTTTTTTTAATGCCATCTTTTTTGTTGTTTTTGTTTCTTTGTTTTGCTTTTTATGATAAAGACAGTGCCTCTGGCAAGTGGCTTTTGACTCGGCGCATTTTCTTAGTGGATGCACTAAGTGGACGAGAAAATGACATAGGAAGTCAGCCAAGATTAATTCGAATTGCTACCCAAATATCACTGAGGTAAATGTCTAATGCACTAAATTAGGCCTGGAATATATGAGAAAATGTCTTAATGAAAGTGTTTGTCAATAATTATCAGATAAAAATGATAACAACTGAATTTGGACAATACATAAGGATTTTCAGGTATCTCCATAGAGTGGTACCCACCAGTAAAGGTGAGGAGCCAAGGGGACGGTTATATCAGAAGAGCCTGGGGAATCTCATCCAAGTTTGCATTCTAGGCTCCACTCTACCTCTGAATTAGAATGATTTGGGAGGTGGAAGGAAAGTGAATGCCAGTGGGCTGAAACGGTATGATAAAAAGAGCCTGCTGAAGGGACATTGTTCTCCCAGCTGACACACACGCCAACTGCCCACAACTACCTCTATAGCCATGAAAAGGCAGAAGAATCTGATCCAGTTGAGAATCACCCAGACAACACCTGAGAGGGGGCCTGGGGAGATAGATTTAACCAATCTTCCTGAAAAAGAATTCAAAATAAAGGTAATAACCATGCTGATGGACCTGCAGAGAAATATGCAAGAGCTAAGGGATCAAGTTAGGAGGGAGAATACAGAAATAAAACAATCTCTGGAGGACTTAAGACAAGACTAGATGAGCTACAAGAGGCCATTAATGGAATAGAAATCAGAGAACAGGAACACAGAGAAGCTGAGAGAGAGAGAGATAAAAGGATCTCCAGGAATGAAAGAATACTAAGAGAACTGTGTGACCAATCCAAACGGAACAATATTCTAATTATAGGGGTACCAGAAGAAGAAGAGAGAGAAAAAGGGATAGAAAGTGTATTTGAAGAAATAATTGCTGAAAACTTCTCCAAACAAGGGGAGGAAATAGTCTCTCAGACCATGGAAGCCCACAGAACTCCTAACAGAAGGGACCCAAGGAGGACAACACCAAGACACATAATAATTAAAATGGCAAAGATCAAGGACAAGGACAGAGTAGGAAAGGCAGCCAGAGAGAGAAAAAAGGTCACCTACAAAGGAAAACCCATCAGGCTATCATCAGATTTCTCAACAGAAACCTTACAGGCTAGAAGAGAATGGCATGATATATTTAATGCAATGAAACACAGGGGCTTTGAAACAAGAATACTGTATCCAGCACGATTATCATTTAACTATGAAGGAGGGATTAAACAATTCCCAGACAAGCAAAAGTTGAGGGAATTTGCCTCCCACAAACAACCTCTACAGGGTCTTTAAAGGGACTGCTCTAGATGGAAGCACTCCTAAGGCAAAATAGATGTCACCAGAGAAAATAAAATCACAGCAAAGAAAGCAGAACAACCAAATAATAATTAAAGGCAAAAAATAAAA